GGGGGGTGAAAACGGCCGTGGGCTCAGAATTGAGCCTGGTCAGTGGTACCTACCATGAAAATAAAGTAAGTGTTGTCATGGAAATGGCGTCATTTTCACTCAAAATCCGCCATGTTTTTGGCGACACTTTGTTGACTGAACGACGTATAGGAGCAGGTCCTCCAGTTATTATACAGCTCAGTGGTGCAATACAAAAAGTTACCGTTACGGAAATTGCTAGATAGTATACTTCAAAATAAGGTTTCCGTTTTTATATCAATTTTTTAAATAAGTTAGGGTTAGGTTAGGTATAGGGTTAGGTTAGGGTTGGGGTTAGGATTAAGGTTAGTATTAGGGTTAGGGTTTAGTTTAGCCTTAGGATAGTTTTTTCTACGTGATAAAAACGGAAACCTTATTTTGAAGTATACTTTCTAGCAATTACCGTTACCGCATGCTTCCGCATGCTATGATGTTAGCTCAGTGTTAGCTTCTGAGATATCCTTCGGCCGCTTGCAGACTCTACTGGAAAGAATATAGAATTTGAAAATTAAGACTATTAAATACAATCCTAAACAACTAAATACCGAAAGAATTAATACTTTTGACAAATATTCGAAGGAAAGGAACGTCAATTTTCTGCAAATAGCAAAACGACTTGCCATTCTTTTTTCCGACAGGTGTGGACGTCTTTTACATCTTTTAAATTAATAAAACGATTGAATTCGGTTAGTTACAAATGAAGAATTATCATGTCTTCTGTTTGTCAGTCTTCCTTGAAATACTTCATGTCATGCTCAACCACATCGAATAATGCTTGATGACGTCATGGCGAACTCGTGTTGGTGTTATTGAGATCTATGGTGTTATTACAGTTCATCGGGCGAACCTCACCAGTCTCCTACATTGTTGTGAAAATACGCAGAAATAAAAAAAAGGCCTATATCAAGGCTGCGTGAATCCTGTATGCATGTGACCAATTTGCATATAACAATTGTTGGTAAACAGTAGGAGGCAGGGGGAGGGGGCAGAGAGAAAAGTGGTTGTACAACAATGTGAATAAACATGACTAGCTGATCAGACACACTAATCCTTTTCATTCCCTGTTTGAATTTCCGGATGGTGGTGAAGCATAGCCGTACGAGACAAAAAAAAAAGTGGAAACTTGGGTAAATGGTAGGAAAATCTAATACTCCATATTAAAAATTCGAGGAAACTTTCAACTGTACCCCACCCCCTGAAAAGCATCAACCCTGTAACCTATGTGGTGACCGAGTGGACCAACGGGTGATGCTAATCATCCTATGTCAGGGAGTGGCCGGGGGAGCCAATCAACACTAAAAAATATGTTATAATTAAGAAAAGTCGAAACAATATTTATAAAAGACACAATTACACAAGCAATTATTTTATTTATTGTCACATGTACACCCCTATTCCATTCTAGTATAATAGGTTATTAATAGTAACAACTAATATATCTGTCACTTTATCTTTCATTTATATTGTATTTCTCACACAATTTTACACATCTACACTAAAACAATATCAGTACTATTGTACCTTTTGCTACACACACCATCTATTTTAAATAAATAATTTAGTTCTATAATATTTTTTCTATAAACAAAGTGTAATATTACTGTCCTGCAGTTTTGGCTACCATTCTATTTTGCCACTAGTGGCATTTTTCTTTACAAAAATTTGCTTTATAACTTTAAAAAATATTTGAAGACATAACATCTATTCCTCAACACACCACAGATCGTTTAAAAAACCACTATTATTAAAAACATGAACATACATATAAAAATATAAAACCTAAAGAACATGGCTGTACACGGGATTTTTTCACAAGGGGGGCAGTAAGGACTATATGCCAAAAAAATTACCAAATATCCAAAGAATAATTGATAATGTCATTTATAAAAATTGTCAATATCGTTTTCTCCAAGGGGCAGTTGCCGCTGTGTACGGCCCTGCTAAACAATTTCACTCGACTTCATCAGTCTTTAACATTCAATATGGTGTTATAAACTGATGAGGCTGGGACACAGGAAAATATATTTCCAACCTTGTATAAAATTTTAGAATTTCTTTAGATTTTATTCATATAATAATAATTGTTTTTTTTAATTAAAGCATCTATGGTGTGTTGGGAGAGGAATAGATGTTCAATGTCTTCAAATAATTTTTTTAAAGTGGCATTTTTATGTCTAGTATACATATTAAACCAACATCCTTAAGAAACCATTCATTATTTAAACCCTAGGGTAGAGTGGGGAAAACAAAGGGGGTGGGGGGAAACAATGATCACCTTGTCATATGGCGGGGGTCTTTGCTTTTTTGAAGTCTTATTGGGGGGAGGGTTAAAAAAAATCGAGATGTATGTTTGCATATAAAACATCTCTGCTGAACAGGAGATTTCTGTCATATATGACATTTTGGATTGTGTAAAAACAGTAAAATTCAATGCAAACAAAATTTTAGCTGTTGGGCACAGGGTATTAAGAGCATCATAAAGGGGGAGGTCCTATGAGATTTTTGTGTACAATACAAGAATCTCGCATCCCACACTAGTGTGTATAAATAATGAATGGTCCCTAAACTACCAATTCAATTCTTACAGTATTTTGTTTTTTTACATTGTGTCATAGGACAAACTCCCTTGCAGCCATTCTTTGTGCTGCCAAAGTAAAAGAGCAGCTGCAAGCAAATCTACTGTAGCAAATCTACGGTTCCAGACAAAACTATTAACACCCCTGAAGGATACATAATTATAATTTGTTATTTTGCTGTTTCAATAGATACCTCTCCCCCTGCGGCAATGTTTATATTGTAACATACTCCCCCAAACTGCTGTCTGAAAGTCTGCTCACCCTTCCCCAACTGCACATTGAAGTTAGATTTCTTATTCAAATTATTGGTGATTTATGTATGTCACCAGTGGCAAAACAAACTTTAATTAACAGTGTATCTTGTTTTATGTTCAATACATCCATATTCAAGTCACCTCATGTCACACTTGCCTGGCAACTTATTATGTTGCCTGACAACTTAACGTCTTGCTCGACAACTTGAAGTTCTGCACAATTTGCCTGACCACTTGATGTCATGCCTGACAACTTCAAGTCTTGCCTGGCAACTTGAAAATGGAGTGCTGTTGAACAATGAAAATCATAATAATCATAGCAAGAGACTTTCATTTTTTTTATGTGTAACTGAAACATGAAGCAATGATCCTATTTCTAAAGAAACAATGTCCACCTTTATACTATAGAAAGACAATAAATAAACTGATGCAATACAGTGGGGCATGGATGGGAGGGCTTTGTCATTAGCACTATGGTTTTTTGCCATGGTTACAATATAAGCATTGAGGTTAGATATGTAAATAATCACTATGATATTATCAGATGATTCAGACCCCCACATCTAATAATGCATGCAAGCTAAAGTAATAATACGAAGTTATGCAATGCATGACAATGACAGGTTGCTAAACTACAGGAGTGTATAATACTGTATTAAACTAACTTACTTTGTGCCAAGGTCATATGTCAAAACGTATCTTGAGCGAGTAATATAAATGATGTTCATGCCTTCAAGCATGTACATCACGTGTTGATAAGCTTGAAACGAACACACAATGTTATATATTTCATTCTTGTATACAATGAACTCATAGTCAAGGTAGCAGCACCAATCTGGTTGTATTCTGTGACTCAATCTGACAATCCTTTCTTACCTTTAGACACCACAAAAAGCTGCCATTTCGGATATTGCTTTCGCGGCACCAACCAACAGCGCACGCATTTCCATTAGTATATATCCTTTGTACTCCAGCAAACAGACCAAACAGCATGGCCAGTTCGTGAGGCAGGCTTCAGCACTCACGTAGAAATACTGTATTTCTACATCAGCCATAAAACAAATATATACAGACAATCACAAAATGATGTCTTAGTGAGAACAACAGCTGTCTCTGCACGTCTTAAATAATTCAACAAGGTATCAGGTTTTCCAGCTGCTGCCGGCGGAGTCACATCACAATACACGAAATCCGCAGCAAAAACTCGCGATATTTCACGCAAATTGTTACACATATACCTCAATTCCATTCGCATGTGATTCTGTGATGTTCTGAGAATGTATTGTGGAATGTCGTGTGGCTATATGATGTCGCAGCCCGCTCTGGTTCTTATAACTTTTACCGCAATGACATTTATGTGGTTTCTTCGTCTTCCCGTCCTTACAATGGCCATTTTTAGCATGATATTTAATCCCATTTGGATTCTTGTATTTTTTGCCACATCCCTTGACTGGACATATATATCGCTTAGAATCCCCGTCTTCCATCGTCACGGAATTTAGAATGAGTTCACTGGTCAAGCCGTCAGAGGTTGTCCATGAATCATCACTATTATCACTCATATTTCCATCATCATCGCCGTTCTCTGAAGCCTCTGGTGTTGCCATACATGAATTTACTGAATACCCTGATAAACCTTTCTTTTTCTTAGGTGTATAGTCAAGATCGAAATCCCCCTCACTACCTATCTCTTTCATCTTCCTGTGAGCAGATCTAGTCGCCTCAGAGAAAAAGCAGTTTACATACGATAGCGGGATGGCAGCAGGTTGAGCGGCTTCTTGCTTTTCAAGTATTCGTGGATCTTTCTCGATATGCACCGCCTCAATATGATCAATAAGATCAAGTAAAGATGAACAATTCTTACCACAGTGATTCCATAAGCACGAGTATCTAAAAAACGCTGCCATGTTTGTATATATCTTTCCTCAATGACATGTAATGTTGAAATGACGTCAAATGATCAGATGTTGTTTGCCATTCTCTTTATGCGGGAAAACCCGCGAACATTCTCAGCCAACCGAAACAGACCTGTTTGTTGCTAGGACGCCCACGTTACACTCATTTCACTTCCGCTCAACATCAGAGGCTCAACATAGTCTTGTGTCACCGAGCTATACAAGTGATTGGTATACATTAGAGCAAGGACTTTAACGAACTCGATGAACTGTTGTTTTTAGTCTCTATGGTTTAATTGTTATTTGTGTTATTGATATTTGTCTCTTAACGTTTTGGGCCCGCAGTAATTGGTTTCAGGCTGTTGCGGATACCCAACCATCAACTCAGTTTATGTCATTGTGTTATGTATGTATATGTGTGTATGTGTGTGTATGTTTCTGTACAGTAGTGATGGAAAGCAATTAAATTAAATTATGAAAAACTCATGTCTAGTTTTCCAGAAGAAAAACAAAAATGACCAACATTTATGTACCAATTACTTTAGCTTAATATGCAGGCAAAGCTCCGTAACTAGGAAATATACGGAGAACAATGAATGTCATGTTTTCCTATTAAGTAGAGATATAAATACAAAGGTCACACACTTATAATTAGCTTCAGCGCGCACGTAGCACGAGATAGTCTTGTCATGTTGATCCACTAGGTGTCACGGAACTATCACGGCAATAACTCATGGTCACATCACTCATGTCACACCAATGATCAATTTCATATGAAAAATGTATTATCATAATCAACTGTCATATACAATGATATTCGACATATTATTTATTAATTAACTCCTTACGTTATTACGTAAACGGATGATAATTTCGGTTTATAGTGGATTCCTGTAATTTTTCAGAAGAAAGATTGAAGAATAATGGCCTATGTATGATTATGTTGAGTATTAGATCGCTGAAATGAATTTTTATATTAGTATTTCATGCGCTTTACGTGTATTGAATATTATACGAAACATATTCATGTGTTTCCTTGATTCCTGAGAAACACAAGACTTTCGCACATAACCAAATTTGGTTTATCCTTAGTAAGCCATAAGGTACAGGACATCTGGCTGTGTGAAAACCACAAATAGCATTACACAGCATCCGCTTGATATGGTCGCATAATAACTATCGCCTCCTTGAAAGAGTGGGCGAGTTGACTGATAAAGAGCTTGTCATATAGACTGCTTCATTTTTCCAAAAATTTATAAATGCTAGTTGTGATCTGTTAAAAATACAGGACTGGATATTGGGTAATATAATCACATACTTGAAAGCAATGCTCGTCGTCTTCACACAATACAACCAACTACCGGCCACAGCTCGAGACTTGACAATCGCCGGACGTGTCGCTGGACAAAAATGGTCTGCCCTAAAGTATTGCCATTGGGGTGGTGTCTAAAACACACCCTAAGTTATAATTAAACATACGTGATGAGGAGACTACTTCAGACTAGTGGCAATTGACGTATAGGGCTGCTACGTGCAGGACAAATATAGATCACCTAGTTACATACTACATTCTGTAGTTCAGTTGGTATTACTACATTATTGTTTAACTACAAAGATCAAACTATAACTCGCATAGCCTCAACCTCACGAAAACAAACTAAAACGACTGAATTGTAAAAACGAAATAATGACGACACGGTTATGCGTAATAATGGTAAGCTTCAGTAATTATGAAGTAAATACTCGGAATATCCGCCATTTAATAGGTATAAGTAAGGTTGGTAGAAGTTATTCCGAATGAATAGTCTGTGATGTTTGTTTCCCAATTTCGCTTTCACTTTATATACAGCTTCTGATTATGTTATGCGGTAAATATATACGTTTTCATTGTTTTGCCACCTTGTCATGCAGATAATTGCGTGAGAAAATTACTGGTTGCATTTATCTATTACCTTCAATACCTTGTGCAATAAGGGACCGATCATTATTTATGGCGGGGAGAAAAGGGAGAAGTAAACAAAATTTTGAGTGAGTAAAGGTTGGGTAAATGAATCACAAAACAACTTAAGGGTTGGGTGCATGATAAGAATTTATTGTCATTTCCAAAGCATGACTCACTCAAATATTGAAGACTAAAAAGCAATGTCAACAGTCAAATGTCAATACAATATGTATATCAATCACTATCCTGATCATTTTCCAATTTTGGCAGGTGGCAAATGATGTCTGCAAGAAAGTACATGTGCAGACAACATGGAACTTTAGATTGCAGAAAATTGCACACGCAGTTATCAAAGTTATGTCACACAGAAGTGGTAAAGGACACGCGTGACAAGTGAATGGTATCCTTTTGAGACGTTTTTGGCTAGGGTTTTACTATTTATTTTCTATTTGATATTTGAGGTTGGACAAAAAACGTTTTTGACTTTTTAATGATTGGATCAGCAAACTTTTTACCAATTAGAAAAACATTTCTCTTCGGTGTCACACCCTGCGATAAATAATGACCGATCCCTAAAGCCAATGAAAATTGAAATGCAATCCAGTGGGAGAAACCTGAGCCCAATTTGGGTGGATAAGGGCCTGCCGCTGAGGGAAGTTCAATCCAACCTCGACATATAACCCATAGAGTTCCAAATTTTCAACTGTATGTATAAAAAGTCCCACCTATCAAATAAGCAGCCCGTTGCGACTTACAAAATCCATACAGTTGAAAAATAAATTGACCAACATTTTGTGCCAATAGGCCTATATTTCAGTTTAATGCACGAAAATACCCGTAACTAAGGAGTATTTGAGAAACAATCATTAGTCTCTCGCGTGGGACCAAACCCGATACATGAAAAATTTACTTTTTGTGAGATGTGAGTACACAAAATCATGGCAACCAATATTCTGTTTATAATTTGTGCAAAAAATTCAACATTTATACTATATAATTATTTCTTCATACAACGTCCTAAGTCTTATCAAAACCTGGCAAAGGAAATTCTTTAGCAAACTTTTCAACCTCCTCTTTCAGTTGACTAATTTTCCCCCTCGTTGAGTTTTCTTCCATAATATACGCTCTGAAATCTGGCAGTGATGTTCCTGGAAAACAACAAAATGACAAGCTTTAAACAGTTTTATCCATATAGGGATATTCCGGTATTTTGGTACTGGGTATATAGTTTACCGAATTCGGTCAGGAAACATGGTAACAGGATTCCAGATAATAACTATACTAAAGCCCAGGTCAAACGAGGATGAGAGTTGATGAGAGTTGTAACTCTCGCTCGCGTTTGATCACCAACTCCCATCCACTTTCGTCAACTTTGAACTGGTTCAAATTTTGATGAGAGTTTTCGCTGCGTTTGATAATATCCAGTCAACTCTCACCTAACTCTCTCATGCAAACTCTCGCTTCTCAACTCTCATTCTCGTTTGACCAAGGCTTATATAATGGTGGTGTACTTGGATAATACTTCACTATACTTTACTATCCCCCCCCCCCCCAATAATACATCGATTGTTTTAGTATGTGCATGCTTTGTCTCTTTGTATAGTACATTACACGGTTCGAGAAGTATTAATGAAAAATCACGCACGCGTGTTTGTCAGAAAATCACTCCTATTCGTGACGATTAATCTTTAGTCGGCAAAGTTTTTGACCAATCAGAATTGAATAAATTGACTAAAATGCATAGAGCACTTTACTTTACGAAAACATTTTCCCAATTATCGTTCCTGTTTCTAATGTTCATGTCTCCAGTCCCAGTATTGGGTAAATATCCGGACAAATTCGAAACAGTACACAAACTCGTCCAGTTCCGTCTGTTCACACAGGAATTCATGCGGTGAACTATGCTCGTATTTATTCGGTTTCATTGCGTACAGGCAATTATAATTTATATAAAAGTCGTATACAATTTTTAGTATACGGTTCCGAATTTATCCCAGTCCCGGTGTGAAAATAGCTTGCGTAGCACTCGCTTTATTTTATTGAATTATATAGGTTTTGAGGATTTTTGAATAACGTTTATCCAAAAATCCTCAAAACTTTCAATAAAATAAAGCGAGTGCTACGCAGACCAGTGTGAAAGGAGCCTTTATAACATACAAATCAAACACAAGGATTTTCGACACCTTCCGATAACCCCAAGCCTCACATTTTAAATCTTATTAACAAATCTCTTGCCCTAATCCTAACTCTACACTTTATAACCCTGTGTGATCCTTAACCTTGTCCACAATCCTAACCTAACAATAAGACAAACGTTAAAGTGTACACCAAAGTTATGGTGAAACGGTATATAATAGTATATACTGAGTAATGAAAGAGGTATCTTACCAGTCTTTTCTTGTGCTTCAAGAGCAATTTTTACACCCTGGTCCAAAAATTCCACAACTTGAACGAAATCATTCTCCATGAAATTTCGAGACGTCAACGCTGGAGCGCCTGGAAATATACAATGTTTGCTTTAGAAACCAAAAACCTCGAGGTGGTCACTGGGGAAAGTGTTTAATCACTTTAATGCATATTTCTCAGAACCTAAATGTTTGCTTTAGAAACCATGTTTGCTTTAGAAACCAAAAACCTCGAGGTGGTCACTGGGAAAAGTGTTTAATGCATGTTCCTCAGAACCTAAATTTGCCATGTTTCAAATAATCCTCCAAGGTGCAAAAAACGATGAAAAATTTGACCGCACAAAAACAAAATATCAGAGAAATTAAGATACGACGGCTCCGATTTAAGCCTGGTTCCGACTTGGTCGTCGTAATCAACTAGTTATGTTCGACGATGTGAAAAAGTCTTCATATTTCTTGTGTCTTGTGTGCTAAATGTTTCGCTATATGTTCCTAAGTCTTTTCTCATTGAAAAGGTATATCTGTACTCTTTTATGTCAGCCAATCTTGATGCGTTCGTGACCGTTAAATCTCGGACGGTGACTGCATCAGTGTAGGTATACAAGGTGTATAAAAAAAAACTGAACAGATTTGAAATCGCTCTCAATTTCGCAAAACACCTATTT